TTATGATTTTTCATTATTACTTTCAATTAATTAAAGTTAAACTTAATTGATAAGTGTCATGACTCATTAAAAATATTCAATTAATCAAAATTAGGGTTGGCAATTACTATTGTTTTCAATTATTCCAAAAATCCAAGTAATTAAAATATTGCAACACAATGAGCTATCTGTGCTCTGCTCATCATTGGTACTGAAACCTGACTTGTAGTTAAAAGTTTTTCAAGCGATTCACGTGAGAATAATCAATGTTTTTTTACCATCTTGCGAGAATCGTTTAGTTAAATATAATCAATTAATAAGACCAACAACTAATCAATTAGCAAATTCCAATAATCACCCAGCATTACTGATGTAATCCTCTTAGCTATTCTTTTGTATTGCACCTCATCAAAAGCTTTTACTGAAAATCTAAGTCAGTACTCCAGATAATTTTTGCCACAATCATTAAAGTAGTGATCAAATTTTTCCTCTATCAGTATCTGCAAATGGTGGTTGGTATTTCAATATCAAAGGCAAACATCTGTATGCTGATTTATGTAGTGATTTGAATCATTTATATTATGAGTGTTTGAATGTGTCAATAATACCTTATTATTATGCAAAATAAAATATGAAAACTTTAAAATGGATATAAGTATAAGTTATACCTATCATGAAATTTATATTTTGTGCAAAGTTTTGATTTATAAAAATCAGAATTTTTTTGTATACAGCACTTTCACATTTGCTAAAAGACTGCCAATTATTGTGAAGATACACAAAGTAAATTCAGAATTATAGTAATTAGTAATCTTCAATACAAGCTCAGTCCATTGCATGAACAACAATGCTAATAGTAGATAAGTGCTTTTAGGCTGACAAATGATTAGAAATCATAAAACCAGTTTGAAACAAAGGGAAATTACATGAAATGGTTTAAATAAAATAAACAGAATGGGAAAAATAATCAAATTTGTAAACTATTGAAAACATCAATAGTTAAGGGTATTATCATCAATTGTTATCAATTCAAATCTATCATCAATGCATATCGATAATTAGATGTATTGTTATACAGTGTACAACCAGTAGGCACAACAACTGATACTGAAGTATACTGGTGATAGTACATACCTAACCAATACGTGTAAAATAAAAACAATAACATGTATCTCTCAAATAATTATGCAAACTTTATGCAGATATGCTATCTGGAGTACTGTAAATACATTAAGTCCATACTCCTTACATCATCCATGTAACGAATAAAATCTTGTAATAAAAAAAAACTTAACATATTAATAAGATAAGACTCATCTTTAGTGAATTAACACAGGCTATCTTATTATATCATAGTTTATTTAAAAATTTTGCAAAGCTTTTTTTTGTCAGTGTCTAGAAATATTTCCACTACAAAAGACTAACTGATCTATAATTTCCAGGGAAACTCTTATCACTCCCTTTAACAACAGGAGTAAAATTAGCAACCCTCCAATCCTCAGGCACTGCCCACACTCTACTGATATACCAGATATGAAAAAGAGGCTTTTATATCTCCATACGACTTAACAGTGATTTTGATAATAATTAATGTTGTATGGAATAGCATCATTATAAAGTGTCATAATCATTTTTCTAACAATATCATTAATTTAAACAAGAAAATCAAAGATACAGCCACCTCACCATAAGTTATCTTTGTTCTGTAATTATATAGCCTTGTAGAAACCCACCTCATTTTAAGACTATAAGTTACAAACATTTGAAATAATGAATTCATAGTTTTCAATTTATTTTTCTTTTACATTAGGATTTTCTTTATAGTGGCAAATATGTAAAAAATAAAAACTGCCATATGGACCAGTAGAGGCTACAATCTACAAGAGTTTAATAAAAGAGTTAATGAATACGTGGAGGATCAGGGCTGAATTTAATGAATACTTTTGTTTGTTGAAGGAGGTTGAGAGTCAAGATATCCTAGTTGTCCAACAATTTATAAATAGTTCTTTTTTAATCCAGTTGAAGGTTTTAAGCTTCATCAAGAATCACATCTAGATCCTTTCTTTTTCATAAGACCAGCATTTCTATCATATAAAGAAAATTTTGTATCTGAAACTCAAATACTTTGTAGTACTTTCCCACAAAATAGATACATTTCCTACAGCATCATCCTCATCCATCATTTTGATATCATCAACAATATGAATAATTTACTGCCCAGGTAAGTTATCCAGATCACCAATATAAATATCGCATAACAAAAGATTCTAAGACAGACTCACTGGCTCTAGTATTTCCATTCTTCAAGTCATAATACTTGTCATTTATCACCACCTCCTGTTTTTTATCACATAATAAATTTTCTACTCACTATTTTGTCTATGCAGAGAGACATACTGATTTCTATTGTTTCTTCTTCCAAACATCGCTATTCAATTGACCGCTATTCCTTCATTTCTTGACAGATTGACTTGAAACTTGGTAGGGTTATACCTTAGTCCAATACACCCAGACTTTTTGTTTTTAATTTAGAATTTTTTAAAGGATTTAATGGGGTCAAAGATAAAACAATCAAAAATGTATATTTACAGCAATCAAGATAAAAATTGGCACAAATATGAATTTTCATGTGTCCAACACACTGACACACAAATTAGTTGGATTTGCCCATTTTCAATCTTTTTAGGGAGTCATAGGTCACAAAAAATTAATTTTGGGACTTTTGGTTAATTACTTGAATGTAATTTGACCAAATTTGGTACAAATATACTTTTCTATAGGTCCCACATATTGACAAACAAAAGTGGTGGACTTGCCCATTTTTAGTAATCATAGGGTGGTCAAGATGCCACAAAAAGAATACTTTTAGGGATTTTTGACAATTACTCCTCCATATTTTGCAGACTTTGTCCAATTTATATGGGATTTGGTACAAAGATACTTTTTTTACAGATCCCAAAGAGAAATATAAACAATTTTGGAATTTTATTCTTTTGCTCAATTTCTCAGCGATGAAAGCACTATTTGTGGTTTTCATGAACTATTCATGTGCATGTCAACCAACTTACATTGGATTTGGTGCAAAGATACTTTCTTGCAGGTCTCAAGACAGTTTTAAATTTTTCTGTGCTTTTCACGATTTTTACTGTGTCAAATTGGCCATGTTGGGATTGCATGTTGGGGACATGTTGCATTCACCCACAAATGTTGGCCTCTTTAATTCTTACTTTCACCAGTGCCATAATGATCTAAATTTCTAAACATCTTTTTTGGGACACCTTGTTAAAGGCATAAAAGTATAACACTAGCTACAAGTAACAAATCAAATTACAAATGTCACTAATTCTAAGAATCCATGAGTGAAAGCAAAGGACATGTTATAATTTGTCAACCACACTACATCTGCTATATCCAGTGCTGACAAGGTCTTTTGCCCAATACCAGAACTCATCAGGCCAGCTGAGATACAACAGACATGGTAGTGGTCTAGACATCATATATATCATGAATAACAGCTGTTAGGGTGTGTTTAACCATCCAGCCTTATTATTATATTATTTGAAAAGATTGAACATTCTTTATGTTGTATAATAATGCAAGTTTGTTATTATTATTTTAACTTCATAAGGTGTAATTTCATAATAATGATACTTTTTCAATGACAAATTATCCCAGTACTGCCTGATATAATTTTTAATTAGTGGATATCAAACATTTTGGTTTTGGAACAAGACCTCAAATATATTTTAAATTATTGTCCATTCATATTTCAAATATAATTTACATTTCTTACTAAGCGTTTTTTAAATGTTTTACAGTTTTCATAGAAATAAAACTGAAAAAGGAAAATTAACATTCATCTAAAATTTCTTAAGCAGCTTCTAAAGTCTATAGGTGACTGATCAGAAATCACTAATAAGTTGCATACAATGGAAATAAGAGCAGTCAGTCTATTTCAACTGTAATACTAGTACTATAAAAATAATACTTTTACTATCAGCACTACCACTGAGAACTAATAATAGACTTTGGTTTTTTTCGGGTTTATTATCAAAATAAATACTGTTGTGCTATAAGTATAAATTAATAATAATTTTGCATGAAAACAAAATCTATAATATTAAAGGCATTAAAATTTAAAATTAACATTTCATTAACCATAAAATATAGTACTAGAAGGAACTCACCTTTTAAGCCAAATTACTTGTAAAATAGTTAGTATTCCTAGTATTCGTTTGCAAATGTAATAATTAGATAGTATAACAAAAACTAAAAGTATATGTTTACCAACTAGACATGTCATTTGTGAACAATTCATTCTTTTTTTAACAAACTCATTATGATGAATTACGTGAATTGAGTCAAAGTCCCATTTCAATTATTTTTTTTATTTTCCCAATTAACAAATTACATTACAGGAAAATTAACCAGTCTAATTATATTAAATTAATATAAACTCATGAAATGATTCAGAATCTCTTCAAAAGTCAGTCCAGTACCACAATCATTCTGGAATTTCTATCTCAAATCTACACTCAAAACTAGCATCATGATAACCATATTCATAACAATAACAAATAAAGATCATAAAATAATAATAATTATCGTCATCATCATTTTTACTAGTAGTAGTAGTAGTAGTAATAATAATAATAGTGCTACCGCATTACAACTTATAAGTCATACATTACGTTTGTGGTGTAATTAGATAGTTTACTTTTTAACTTTATTCATTTTCAGTAGCTGAAAGGTTATCCATAAAGTTGTTAATCTCTTGGCCAAATTACGTTAAATAATTCATATACTGATGTTTTCTACATGATTTTTACAAATAAAAAAATGTATTCTTTTGACAACCCATATTTCATGTTTAAATAATTAATAGTAATATAATTACTAGTAGTAGTAGTACTACTACTAGAAATTCTAAATTAAAGACTACCAGCCATACATCTAAGATATGTAATATCTCCACATCTTAAAAACATAGCTTTGTTTCATATTTAAGACACTATAGTTACCGCTTTCTGAAAATCCTCTGTCCGTAACACCTTACAAGTTACATACTAACAATAACACTAGCATTAGTTTCACTTGTCTAACACTTGTTTAAGCTAACAGTTATTACCTAATATAATACACGTAGCGCCGTCTTTCACCAAGGTAAGTAAAATTTGAAGATAAAGAAAATAAACTTACGAAAATCCGTTGATCAAGAAGACGATATTTTTGTTTGTAGTTATGCACAAAGCTACACAATGGGCTGTCTGTGCTCTGCCCATCACGGGTATCGAAACTCGGTTTCT